TGAAAAAGTAGGTTTTCAAATTTTTCGTTCAAAGGAAAAATTTGAAAAATTTGAAAATTTTGAAAAAGTGATTGTCGACTTAATAATTGAGTATTATTATATATGAGCGAAGAGGCTATACCCAAATAAACCCAAAAGGTCCCACATACATAAATATATACATGTCTACATATCTCTGAAATACATAGCATTGTCGAAAATGCATGCGAATTGGGAGACTACCATAGATTGCTGAAGCTAAGGCTAAGGTGTCGTCACTCTCAACTACAGGTTGACCGGCTGCTCCGAACTGATCCATGGCATCGCATGCACTTCGAGGTCCTGCTCCAGCTTGAGGCTGGTCTTGTCCCGGATGTCCTCAAGGGCGCATGAGGCGGTGCAAGGCGGCGCAAGGTGCAAGCAAGAGCTTCGGCATCTCTCATGTTCTGAGCAATCCGGACGTTCTGGCGAGAGCATGCGCAAGAGCAGCGAGAAGCACTCCCCGGGAGAGTCGGGAAAACAAGCCCACGCAGCGACTTCGGAAACAGTAGCCACTGATCAACTGCCACAGGACACTGACGGCTATTCCGCAGGGACCGAAGAAAGAAGGCGATTGCAGAATTCTCGTTCCAAAAAAACCAGCTTCGTTGCTTCCACCTCATGAGTCTCTCTGGGTCCCAACTGACAATCGATTTCCATGTCCTTGCCGTGGCTCACGATCGTCTTATGCAATCGATACCGGTATCATGTCTTTTTGAGCAAGAGTGTGTCGGTGCCCACAGGCAGTGTCTCCAAGCAACTCAAGCCACATGTAGGATGTAGGGATGTGTCGGGTTCAGGACTTCGGGGATGCAGCTGGTGCCGATCTCTGATCAGATGTCCTGGAAGAGGCCATCACCTCGCAACATGTCTAGCGGAGGCCATTCGCAGCACTCAGCTTCATGCTTATCCTCACAGGAACCGCCCCTGAGGGAAAGTGACAGGCATAAACCGCTGCACTCGTTTATCGCAACCCTGCTACCTCTAAACCCCCAACCTCAAAGCCAACCGCAACACTCAAATGGAGGCGTTCCGGACCGTTCCGGAAACCGAAGGTTGAGCTCAGCGGCAGGGGAGATCCACGGGGCTGTGCACAGACATCGCCTCGAGCCTAACAGCCACTCCGGTAGAGAGAGAGAGGGAGTTTTACGAGCGGACAGACGAACTCCCGTCAAAGGTCTAGGGTTTGGGGTGGTGAAGCTTGGTGTTTTGGCTCCAGATGTCACAGGAGCTTCTCAGTAGGCCTGGAATGAATGTGAGCCGGGGCGCAGAGAAGTCTCGGCTCGTTCGGCCAAGCGTTTCTTCATCCTTTCAAGGTCGAATCGAAAGGATCGTCTTGCACAGTTGGCCCGGCTCTTTCGCGTCTCAGCCCAGGCAAAACAACAAACTTCCCTCCGAAGCCCCAATGCCTTGAGCCAGGCTTGTGAGAAAAGAGGGCCGTCGAACTGCAAAACCCCCGACAAAGCCAGAGGGAATCTGCCTGCGCTGCTCCTGCCGCTGCTCTCGTTCCTGCCTGTCCTCGAAACCATACTTCGAACTAACTTCTCTCTTTGCACAAGGTCTGAATTCACATCACAGCTCCCTGACTTCACCAAGACGGCTCGTTCCCGGAGGGCGTCCTGGCCGTAGAGGCGGTCAACCACACGGCCGACCTCTCATGACCACAAACAGCTTCGAAGCGCAGTCAGAAGGGCGGAGTTCTCTCCCCGTGCCGAGACACCTTCTCGGCAGCCTCCTCGGCTGGCAGCTTTGGAGGCTTGCGGGTTGTTCGATGGCTCGCCCTCTTCTAGCCAGGATGCCGCGGATTTGTCGAGCTTTCGATGGAGCGAGTTCCTGAGATCAACGCACTTTGCTGGGCTCTCTGTCGTGGTTTCGTCGAGGCTTGTCTGGGCCCCGGCTCACATCTTTAAATGATAAGAACGCACACGTGTCTGGGCTCGTCACCCGGGCAGGAAGTCTGTCTTGTCGACTAGCCCCATCGAAGCCGAACTTCCTACCCTTCTGCTAGCCTCATCTACCCAGCCCACACTGCAACAGCTGGTCAAGCCTCTTAGGCGTCCATGAGGGCAGGGGCAATCAGATGAAAAGTTGCACCCGAGCTGCACAACAGCTTCGTCTTCCTCAGCCTGGGACGTGAGCTTGGGAGCTGTCACACTCATGACGAAGCAGTCCGGGCGTCTGGCCAAATGCTTCGCCCGCAGCTTTTGCAGCTGAACCTGCTGCGCCCGCAAATTCTAAGTCCATGCCACCCCACCAGCCTAAACAAAGCAACCAAAGGCATCGCCCGCCGCCCTCCCTCCTCGCCTCGCGCTTTTTGGCAGCAAGAAAGAGTCGCTTGCCCACGGCCTGTGGGTCGGCCTCGCCCCAAACCGTCTAAGACTTCCAACAATCAAGATATCCACAAGCCCAAAACCAAAACACTGGGCCTGAGCCCCGCGGTGTAGGTTGTTCGAGGACAAATACTGGGCCTCCTCGTCGAGCTTCCTTTTGTTTGGTCCAGGGAAAAAAGCACAAAGGCACGTGGGGAGCTTTCTAGATGTCAATGCGTCTCTCCAAAGAAGTCTCCCCAAAGAACCGCCAGAACCGCCTCTGTTGCTTCGTGCTGCGCCGAGGTGCTCTTGCAGCTTCCCGGCCCTCCTCTCCTCGGGAAGCGAAGGTGAAAGACGGAGGCCCCAAGCAAAGCCGAGTGGGAAATTCACGCAGAGCATCGTTTCTCTTCCGCTTCCACTGCTCCTGGTCCTGCAGCCACTCCTCAGGGCCCAGGATGGCTTCAGGAGGCGCGCCGAGCGCGGAGCCGAGAGCGGACGCCGAGAGCTTCGCTCGCCTCGCGGTTCTGCCAGGGCTTCTCCGCCGCTTGCAGCTCGGGGCGGAAGGGGTGCAGAAGACGAAACCTCAGCACGACATGCGCACCGATCCGGTCCAGGGCAGGGCAGGGGTGCGCGTGTGGGACAGTGCCCCCTCCTGCGGACAAGAGGCTCCTCTTCGTATTTCTGCTGAAGGTCCTCTCGCGCTTGCCTCTTCTTGGCGACCCCCTCGTGAAGCCGCTTGGAGGCCTCACAAACAACAAGAGCAGGAAAACGCCCCACAAACATACTCTCTGCCATTGCTCTGCTCTCCCTCCCCTGGGCCTCGGCGGCGGGGCCCGTCTGGCTCCTCCCAGCTTCTCGCAACGCGTCTCCCTCTCCGCCCTCTCTTGGGACGCTCTCACTGCGGGTCCGAGCGGCAGCTCCAGCCTGGCCAAAGGGCGAAAACACGAACCAAAGCATGACGAGAAGAAGGGAAGAAGAGAACGGAATGATGAGAACACGAAGCCGCCTGACCTGGAACTCACGTTTCTTTGCATGCCCCTGGCTCTAGCGCTCTCGTCAGTCTGGCGCCTGGGACGGAAGTCAAACTGCTGCTCCTCCTCGCGCACTGCTGATGATGTTCTTGCACAGTTGCTGCAAGACAATCCGGTGAGGAGCATTTCCGGAAAAGGGGCGGCCCAACCCTCAACGGCTCCTTCTCCTTCTGGCGCGCTTCGGCCAGTCGCAGTTTGCGATCCTCGTGTCCTGAGCTTGGGACGCCTTCTGAGCCTGGAGCCTAGGGGAAGCTGATTTTGAAGCCGTGACACTCGCATACAGGCGGTCGAAGACCTGCGGGAACGAAGCTCAGATGGGGAGGAAGAAGCACTTGAGAGGCAGAAAGTACGGCATGGTTGTACCCACTTTGGTTAGCCTTTCCAGAATTACTCCCACGTTTTCTCCAGGCCTTCTCCTGCTGCAGCGGAAACTCCTTCTGCTCGGTTGGAGCCTCACCTGCTCTGGAGAGTTTCAAGCACTTGCCATCGCCCGCTCGTCGCTCTTCGAAGTTCGATCAGCGCGAGCAGCACTCGTAGGATTCGCATCGGCATACTGGGTATATCGGTGCATGGATGCTTGTTTCCGTGTGTCTCACGTGTGCTCCGGCGGGCCCTGCAAGGCTGAAGCTGCATCAAAACTCCACGTCAGCATTTCAGGCGCTTGAAAAAACTCTTGGGAGTGCATCGCATGAGGAGTTAAACTCGTTTCTACTGACCATAAGAAGCTCCATCTTGAGACTGAGCTTGTGAAGAAAACAAATCCTGCGACGACACCATGGAAGTATTGAAGGATCCCACCGATCAGAATCGCATGGTTAACGGCAACGACATGTCAATGTGTTCTAGAAACAATTCGGGAAGGAACTCCTGCCAAATTCTGCCCCAGAAACCTGTACCCAGAACCCCCAACCGACTGTCGCAGCCCAAACAATACCAGGCCTTCGCCGCCACCACGTGGCTTGGGCCGTGGGGAATTCTCCTCAGCGCCCCGGCCGCCTCCCAGACGGAGAGTGGGCTTAGGGTTGGAGGCTTTTCTTGGTTTGAAGAAGTTGTCACATGGAAATTCGTGCGAGTTCCTCACAATCTTTGTGTGCCTGAAGCTTCTGGGCGCAAGTGTGCAGGCAGAAGCACAGACGTGCTTGTGCTACGTCTTGCGGCATCTGAAAATTGGTTTCACCGGAGTTCTGGATTATGATTAAGCTGCAAGGAGCATTGACGACATTCAAGATTCGGGGCGAACTGCTCAAGGCTGGGGCAGTGGATTGCTAAGTAACCTGCTTCAAGGTTAGGAGTCGGGGCTCCGAGTGCTGAGAGAGGCTCGAAAGCCGAAGATGTGACGCACCGAACCTATCCCCACATCCGAAGCCATCCTCAGACTTCTGCGAGCTTTAGGTCCTATGTGAAGCGGAATAGCGATGGCGCGAAAGGCTCCCCACCTTTGGCGGCAGCCGACTTCGACGGGCTGCCAGGGCCTGCGCAGGGCCCGGAGTTGCAGAGAGGTCCCTAGTGCCTCCAGCCTCACTCACTACAGAAAAACACCGTGCAAGAGAACTTCACAGAGCTCTGGAGCGTGCATGGGCAAATGCTGCCTTCGCGACCCTCGGCCTTCGCAGAAGCCAGGGGCGAGTCCATATCCTGGTTTACAAGCAAAGCCCGGTCGCTGGTAGTATAGAATCTGGAACTTCATTGGAAGACGGGGCCCTGCTGTGCATGACAACCTCGCATGCAACGATTTCTCCCACACGCTGTTTTTCTCCCCTGCATCCGTGTATTGCTGACCTACAAGTAGCTCTTTGTCAGAGTGCACTGTGTGCAGGGTAGAAAGTCAGACAGCGACCTGTGTGCTGTAGTTTTGAGGAGCTAGATCTCCTCGGCACTGGGGTGATGCGCCGAAAACGACCCGTGCCACATAACATCCCTTCAACTTCGTCCAGATAGGTGTCGGCCATCGAGCTGAGGAAACTCTAAACTCCCCTCCCCAACCCCACCCTGCGCTGCTCGGTTCGTGTTCAGGTCTTAAGTCTTAAGGGTTTCGGGGTTGCTGACTCGGGGGGGAAAAGATGAGGGCCTTAACACTCGCTTCAGAGCTGGCACCGCTTGTCCCCAGAAGGATGCCAAAGACACTTTGTTTGTCCCTCGGGTTCATACGTAAATACTTACATCTGCAAACAGTGATCACGCAATTCATGCCATACATGCACTCAGACAAAATCATACAAACAGACAGACGTGCAGACCTACAATCCACACATAACAGGTACGCCCACAATACGCTGATGTTGGAGGTTGCCGCCCCTCGAAGCCGACTTCCTTGCCGGCTGCGCATCGACCCGTCAGCGCTCTGCAGTGTCAGCGCTCAGCCTTCTGCCTTCCGCTGTTCGGAGGCCGTCGATGAGAATCCCCGTTAGATCGATGGAGACTCCGCTCGTGAAGTAGGCGTGCAACCGACCATTCTTGGAGCCAAGACGGGATCTTGTCCGTGCCGTAGACATGGGCTGTGTCAATTCTGAAGGCTATGGCCTTGGGGCCATCTTTCTGGCCATGCTTATAGGAATCTGTGGCCCTCACGGTGAGCACCAGGTTGGTGGGGTTCAACACTGCGATGCCAGTCTGGATGGGCGCTATCAAATGGGCCGTGGTCATGCTGGGGATCTCCGTCAAGAAGGACTTCTGTGCCTCCTGTTCCTTCACGGACTGATCGACAGTCTCGTTGGTGCTCGCCTGCTCCTTGGCCAGGCACTGCGTGTTCTCCTCGAAGTGAAAGGCTCGCTGGAAGTTGCGGACATGTACCTCCAGATCCTGGGCCAAGGCTTCGAAGCTGAGGCCAAGGGCTGCGGAGCTCAACTTGTCTCCTTTCATCCAAGGCTGCTCAGGAACCTGGAGGTTGAAACCGAACTCGTGCGTCGAGTCCCCCGTGTGCTTTGGGCAGAAGTATCTGTTCGCACAGCCGCTGTACGTGTAGCCGATACCTTTCAGGAAAGTCACCGTAGGCATGGTGACGTAACCTTTGAAGCTGAAGGAGGAGCTGGTGGTTGCTTCGTTGCTATTGACCACCCTGCCGTCGGAATTCACGATGCCCTTGAAGGCGTAGGACCAGGCCCCTGAGACCTTCAGGAAATCGCTGGGATCTACAACGCAGGAGACGAACGTCGTAGCTTTTGCATTGTCCGCCTGAAGCGCGAGGGTCCCTGTCCACTTGGTATTGATCCTCACGCCGCTGAGCCGGTGATCCTCCTTGCTTGCCCGAACCTCATCCAACAGAGCGCGCATGGTACCTCCAATGTTCAGCCTCAGAAGTGGGCTGACAACGGTGGCAGTGGCGCACTTGATGGTAGCTGCTTCAAGCGCAAGAAGCTTTGCCATGTCCGCCGTGCTGACTTCCTCACGACTCGTGTGGCCTTTGCCTCTGCGCAATTCTGACACATAGGCTCTGGCCGGCATCCCTTGGTCTCCTACCGTAAGCTGACAGGCATCCTCCACCTCGGCCCAAGTCGTTGCCTGGTATTGCTCGTCAATCTCCTCGTTTATTGGCACGGGCGGCCGGCCATCTATTGAAGAGTTGCCCAAGTCATCCCAGAAGATCTTCAGCCACGTGCCAGCTTCCTGCCGAACACGCTCCTCGTCGAAACTATCGATATACTCAAGCACCTCTGCTGCCTTTCCATCTGCTAAGGCTCCGAGAAGCCTATCAAAAATCCGTGGCACCACCGCGTACACATGCGGCGGAATCTTGAACGTCCTGGTGCTCTTCACATTGAAAAACTTGTTCCATTTCTCCGTGAGTGTGTCCTCGTAGTTGCCTGTGATCGTTACTTCCACATTCTTGACTTTGGCATAGTTGGGGTCCACTTCTGCAAGGACATGAAGGACCCGGCACATTCGCTGTGCAGGAAGGCCGTCAGAGACAAACTCCTCAGTTGTGTGAAACTTGCCGCTCGGATATCTGATGATAATCCTCCCCAAGCTGTCTCTCACATTGCCCCGCTCGTCCATCTTTAGCCTCTTCCCATTGCGGAGTGGCGGGTAGCAGAAGAAAAGATCATTCTTCAAGAAACCATAGGGGCACTGCTCAAAGGACAGACCTTCTGCATTGAACCGGACGCCTGCCTCCCTTGTACAGCTCTCAGTGATGAACATCTCATTGCCATTAAAGAAACTTCGACTGATAGCATTTGCCAGCTCATCAAAAGTGCGCCGAAGCCGGCAGCGATCAGGTCGACGAAGCCAGGCACGTTGGGGCTGTCGATGCTCAGGCTGCCATCTGCAATGAAGCGAAGATGACCCAGCCAAGGAATGTTCAGGTTAACAGCGCCACCGAGAACGAGCTGTACACTCTTGGGGCTCCGCACGCCAACCCCAGACTTGTCTTTCATCTCGTTCATGGCACCTGACCAGGAGAATTGAAAAGAAGCAAAGCCGCGATAGCTGAGCGACGCCACTCCATACTGCAGTGCCGGGATCTTCACTTCCCCGCAGAGGCCCATGTTATGGGAGAGATACTCCAGAAACGGCCTGGGAACGCGCGCCGGATCTGATGCCTTGTCACCGTGAAGGAAGCTTGCGAAAGTGTAGTCGACCTTGTCGGTAGCCACCATCACTTGCTGGGCAATCTCACGCCCGAGCACGTCGAGAGCCTGCAGGCTCACATCCTCGCTGACGCGCACCGCGGGCGAGCTGCACAGCAGCACCAGCCCTAGCCGTGCGCACTGCTGAACGGAAAGCATTGCGAAAACATGAAAACTGTATTTGAAGGACGAACGCAGCCCTGGGAGCCAGCTGGTGTCTGCGCAGGGGGCCCTGTGCAAAACTGCTGAGGCACTTGAGCCTTCTGTAGAACTCTAAGCGCAACCGTTTGAGGAAGCACCTCACTGACCTCCATGCGTTGACCTGGAACCCCCCCCCCCCGGCTGCATGCGCTCGTTGTCACGCCTCTTCAGGTATGACGACGGGACGGCCATGGGCAGAAGTGCTCTGACGATGTTTGCGCAAATAGTTAGGGGCTGAGGGTGGATGCTGGCTGCTGTTTGAGTCGCGGGCAGGAATCATAGGCAATGGCCAACTGCTACAGGTTGTTTCAAGGAACACATCGCTTTGAAGGATCACGGCTCTTCGGAGGTGGGGATGCCTCTAATGCAGCAAGGCAGTCGACGTCTTACAGGGGACCTTGACGTCAACTAAGTGTGCAGATTCGCTCATACACCGAAATGGCAGCTCAACGCCCACTGCTTGCGCTCGAAGGCTCTTTTCCGCCCCTGATTGGAAAGCCAATGGCACTCATGCCCAATGTCAAGGGAATGCTGAAGGTAGTTTCGGGGCCACGGCTGTCACCGAAGGCTAGGGAAGCCATCGGGCTTTCCAAATCCAAGGATGGAGCGGCGGAAGGCATGGACGGGGATGCGGGCTGTGGCAGCCGTGTCAGTGGCGGAGCTACGTCCACCTGAGCCCGTCGGGAATCGAAGATCTCTCCCAACTCAAAACTAGCAGGTCCCACCTCACGGTCCAAGCAGTGCTCCAGCGACATCGTCGGTGCGTGGGCGGGCTCGCGTCCAGCACCACCGTCAGCCAAAACATCAAATAGTCCAAGACATCGCCGCTTCTGTGCATTTCTTGGTTGGACGAAGCTCGCTCGGCACGGCAGCATGGAACTTATGGCACGCAAGAGAAGTCAAGGCGGATGATGGCTAGATATTGCAACTCTGCTGCTTGCAAGTCGGGGCATCCAGGTCATGCTCAATACCACTGGAGATGACAAATCACTTGAGGATCCGAATCAAGCTCGCTGTCCAACCCGCCCCTCTTGACTGCCGGTATCCTTCCACCGAGCAGCATCACGCTGCAAAGGCCTTCCAGAAGGTGTTTCTCCTTCCCACGCTGCAAACATAAAGTCCATCTAATCTTTCATTGATGAATCCATGAAACAAATGATTCTGCCCGATGCGGCTGCCGGAGCGTTTGCTTCGGGCACGGCGCGGTTGTGAGGTCGTCTGCTGCTATCAAGTTCCGATTCGGAGATAATCCGGGTTTTGATGAACAAACCGTCCTCCCGCCGCCGAAAATGCACTACACTGTCACTACACCCCGAGCATCGCCAACCTCCTCAGCACCCTCCTTCGTTGTCTCACTCTGCAACTACGACCACAAGATCTCTCGCATGCCCCCCCCGACCCGGTCATCTGCGTCGCAGTGGTGAAAGTTAAACCCTACGATCCAGCCCTTGCACTCCAAAACCCTCAAATTTCAGAGAGCCTCAAGTTTTAGAGAGGGGCCCCAAAAAGAACCCCAAGACTCCCAAGGAAGACCCAACCCTAAACCCCAAAAGCTAAACCCTAAACCAAAACCCTACAGACCCGGGAGTCCGGGGGGAGGACCCGGCGCCTGGGCCTCGGCCTCCTTGGGCAGCGCCTCGAGCTGGCGCTTCAACGTCTCCTGCGCGCCAACGTCTCTGCGGAGGCTCTGAGCCTTGGGCTCTGAAGTTCTGGGATAACTCTCCCGAGTCTTTGGGGGGGGGGAAGAGAGAGATCTGCTGTTTACGTATCGTGAGGGAGGGTGCATGAGGCTTGCCAGTGCTTGGGGGGACTCACTCTGCCGTGCTCGATTGTGGCACCCCTTCTCCTGCTTCTCGTGCAGAGCGGACTGCTGGCTTTTGGCGAGACCTGGGGATCCGTCCACGACGCGACGACACCCAATCACTCCCGGAACTGCAACAAGAGCTTCCCACTGTCCGTCCGCACAGGAACAAGCAGGAATGTGTTCTGCAACTGTGAGGGCGGGATGGGTGGCCAGAAGGCTGTGCTGCACTGCAGTGTGGCGACTGTTGTTGTCTGCCAACTGCCATCCACGCGGCGCTGTTGTTCCAGCGCCTCTGCCTGCACAAGAGAAGGCACACTTGACTCATCTTGACTCACTTGACAAGGAACTTGCAGGAACTTGGAGACCGTGGCTCTGTGCTCTAAAATGAGTCGTCAGCCCTGGCGCCTGCAGATCTCTGACGCCCCTGCAGAGGCCAGCCAAGGCCGCTACAAGCGGCACGGTGTGGAAGCGGGCGGCCTGCACGGCCGCAACGGGGCCTTCCTGACAGCGTCTCGCGAGCTCTCGAGGGCAGAGGGCTTGCAACTGGGGCAACAAGTCCCCTAAACCCCGAAACCTCCGAAACCCCTAAAACCCCTAAACCCCTAAAACCCCTGAAACCCAACAAGCCCCCAGAAACCGAAAAAGAGAAAAGAAAAGATGAGAAGAGAAGCCGCCCCGGAGAGCGCCTTGTAAACGAAGCGGACCGTCAGCTCGAGCTCGGGCTCTGGCGAGGCCTCCGAGGCCTTGGAGGGGGTCCGGGTGGCTCCAGGAGGCCCCAAAAGACACCGGTGTTAGGGTTTAGGGGTTTAGGAGCTTGGGGCTTAGCGGCTTAGGTCCTCGGGCTGTCTTGAACCCGTTTTCCCCAGCTCGGCCCGCCTCGACCAGCTTCCAGGAAGCCTCGGCACGGGGCCCCAGAACGCTGGAAGTGCCTCCTGCACGACGGAGCTGAAGAAGTCTCAAGAAGATTTTGTTGCTGCCGGCAGTCCTGAAGCCTGTGGAGATGCCAACGCTGATCGAAGGAGCCGCAAATTCACCGGGTCCCGCCAACCTTGGGGCCACAGATAGCAATTTTGAAGACCAAGCGGAAATAGAACAACTTCGGCTGTGCCGTGCGGCTCTCTCCAAGCGGGCCAGCGAGATGCCGGCGGCACAGCGGCCCGCGCCAGCAGTGTGAGCCGTCCTTGGATGTTGATTGCTGCGAAGGAACTCGAGATATCGCAAAACCACCCGGAACCCACTACTGGAATTGCTACATACTCGTCGGCGCCCAGCGTCGAAGATCACCAACCGGCAGATCTCCTTCTCGGCCTCAGCGGTTTCCGACTCGGCGCTCCCGAGCGTGTTGGCCTCCCAAGCCTTGCAAAGCCATGCGCATTTGGCTCGCGGCTGCACTAAGGCAATTTGCATTCTCATTCGCACCAGAGCTAGCATTCGGTGTGACATATAAATAAAACACCATGCGTCCAGGCTGCACACTGCACGAAGAGTGGGGCACTGGCTCCAAGGGCGTCGGTGAATTCAACCAGGGCTGGCCCGGCCATAGCATGGTGTAATTGTGTCGGCGCACAGCTCCTACCCAACGATTCCACAACGCACCGTCAATTTGTTGGAAGCTAACAGCCAGGTGTTGTGATCTTGAAAGCCAGCTTCGCAGAGACACGCGGACACACAGAGAAGCCCATTGTCGCATGATACACCTATAGCATGACATTGCCGCACATGGACGAGCACCGTCAAACTGTCAAACATGCTTAACCGCATGAGCAATGCAAAGAGACCTTTGTTTTGAATCACACGATCGTCCAGTGGCTCCACTAGCAACCTTCGGGCTCAGGCCCAACCTTGGCTGCAAGTCTGAATGACCTAAACGTCATGAAGTAGTTATGGGCATCAGCAATCTCACTGCTTGATTGGTAGCTTCCGCTTTCACTTGCCCCATGTGCCATCCACCCGCACTTCCACTTGCCCCAGTTGCTCCACTTCTGGTCACCACCGCTTTGCGAGCGGTTCGACTGGATGACGCACGACTCCTGTATGAGCATCTCCGCACCACCGCGCATGAAATCGGAATTACAACATCGTAACATGCCCTTCACGTGGGCACCACGTCCTGCATTGGCCAACCTGATAGCCCAACACGAATTGGGCACAATCCACAATCGCGTGCAGTTCTTGGGCTGCCGCGCTCGGGTAAACGTGTGACATTGTGATGTCAACATCACACACACACAGAGTGACAAGACAAGTTTCTGCCGTTTCAGCTTTGCCTCCAGGAGGTTCGGGCTCTACTCGAGCTGAGTTGTGGCAAGTTCGGGCGTCTTAGGTTTGTCCGTGTGCTGACAGAAGCAATGTATAGGTTGGTGGAAGTCAAACGTCTCGATGCAAACATGAGGCCAATGTGTTGGGAATTTTCAGTTGGTCTCGCCTTCGGCATGGCACGGTCACACTGGTGTTCAAATCATGGGACATGAATGCAAACTGCACACCATGCCGCAGCGGGAGCGCGGAATGTTCCGGATGCTGCCCCGCAAGCACCTCGCACTCACACTTCCTCCCATCCTGATTGTATGAATCATGAATCCATATTCCCAGTGTGTACGACATCTCCTCGGTGGGGAAAAGTCAGGGAACCAGCCAGTCCAACGCTCAACATCCCGATCTGAACCCTGCCAAAAAAACCGCTCAAGCGTGGGGGGGGGGCTCCCCAGAAGTCCATCCCGACTCAGCGTGTGCTGATGTTGATGCTCCACCTGGCAAACCATCTGAGCTGTTTGAGAGTGCGGCTGATCCCAAGTTTCAGCAGCTTCGACAGGATTACCCGGCCCCTGCTGAAGCACCCGCATGTGGCTGATGCTCATGATGCCTCGAACTTGAAGGCTGATGTTTTTAATCAGTGGGCACAGGCCCGAAGTGCAGAACAAAACTAATGAGGCAGTGGGCCTTGGGCAACATCAGGAAAAAGGGACCGAGGTGAGACGCAGGCTGAGGGAATGAAGGAGGGGCATCACACCAAGGAAAAGCATAGACAACGCCAGTCGCAGCTTACAACCAACAGGACTGCTTCCAAAGAGCCTTGAGTCAAACGTCAAACTGTTCAATGACGCGTTGCAGCGTCCAGTGTCTCCTCCCTTGCCATTTCCGTTGTTTCCCGGGGCGCTTCCGCCTCCCTTGCTTGCTCCCTGGCCCTTTTCGTTGCTTGTTCCCTAGCTCATCGACATTGAGATGAACCCGACAACATGGCGATGTGGGAACAGAACGGAGTGCACCTACAGCATCCCTAAAGGAAGGGGCGGACGGAACTTGCTCCCGGAGGTATCACCAGCAGCAGCCCAGCGCGGCTACAGCCTGCTTTGTCCCTCTTGGAGCCGAGCTTCGCTGGAAGGCGGCGGAAGGGATGCTGCAGGCTTCAGCAACTCCCTAATTAGGCCCTAGGCCCTCGCTCTTTTGGTTGCGGTGCACGCCCTGCGCAGCGTTTTTTCGGGCTGGGTCCAGAGCTGGAAGTAGGAACTCGGAGGCTGAAACGAAGTTAACCCGTCCGTATCCGTAACCCATGAAAGCCGGATCCAACGTTTCGAGTTCGAACCGCCAGGGTGGATCGCCCCGTCGCGCCCCCGTCAGCTGTCCATGCTTTGCAGCTTGACCTTCTGGAAAAACGAATCCCGCTTCAACTTCTGCCTCTCTCAGAGCTCATCGATCACCTCTGTCAGAATTGAAGTCGCTGAAAAGGCGAAGAGGAGCCGTGTTTTCAAGAAAGCCGGGAGCCTTGATGGGCACCTCACGCACGTCCTCTTGCTCCAGCTTGCACCGGAGCACCTGCAGGGACTGGGCCGTAAGCCTTGAAACTCCCCAGGAGAGAGAAAGGGCGTTCAGATGCCTGTCCGCCGTCTTTGGCAGCGCCACCGAGCCTGGCGGGTGCACAAGCCTCGACCCTCACGGCCCTCACGGCCCTCGCTTCCGCTCAAACTGGGCCACGGCACTTGCAGGACTCTTTGGACACCTCGACGGGGAGCTTCACCTCTGACTTCCCATGCTCATGCTCAGCCCTGGGTTTCGGGAGGACTAGAACTGGCCTTCCCAATCGGAGTCTTCTCCTGACCGCGCGACAGGGACGGCCGAATAGATCAGGTTCACACTACGAAGCGAAGATGGCAACTGCTCCGCACTGCCCTCCGTCCTGCTCGGTCTCGGAAGGCTGCTCAGCAGGCGGCTCAGTACCTAGCAGAGCTTCACACATCAGGCCGCCAGAGGCGGAGTCTTATCAGAGCCTCAGCTTAAGCCCTGAGTGTCTGCATGTCCCACTGCGGTGGCTCCATCCGAGGAAGTGTTCTGCAAAGTAGGCGTCCCACCTGTGGCATTGAAGAGGAGGACCTGCAAACAACTCCACTGCGACATCTCAGAGAAGAGGGAGCGGGACGCGAAGCTGTGCCATACTTCCCCCCTTCCTCCCAATGACAATGAATCACGCGAGGCCCCTTGTCTGCCTCGGAACCACTGGCTGAGGCCACCGTGCCCTGCGATGAGGGCCACGCAAGAAAAGCCAAGAGTGCCTTCCTTCCTTACCTGCCTTCTCCCCTACCTACCAACCTACCTACCTACCTACCTGCGTGCCTGCTTGCTTGCTGGCTGACTTGTGTGAGCGGCGGCTTTTCTTCATTTCCGGGGTCCTAGCTGCTATTTTCATGTCCGGGCCCTGACCTGGCTTACCTCAGAATTACTCTTCCGGGCCATCATCGTTTTGCAGGCTGATCTCGCTCAATACAGATTTGTACTGAGAAGAAAGACATTCCATGAGTGGAATCGAGAAGCCAAGCTGAAGTTGTGGAGCTTCGGTTCTAAACGTCGCATAACAGTCTGGCACCTGGGTTTAGGGTATGTGGTTTTCAGGCTGTAAGTCAGGGTCTATGATTGCTAGCTACTAGCTTTTTTGTTGAAGAAACGCTGCTTCCTTATACGTAAAGATGGCTTGCATGGTCACCATGCTTTACCGCACCTGTGCTTTCCAAGACCGACAAACTACACGATCTGGATCACGTTTAGATGGCATGTGGATCGCGTATGGGGCCTGGTATCACAATGAATTTTGCGCTGAGTCACCCGGATGATACAAACAAGACTCTTCTCGTACACACCAGCGAGCTCCTATATAGATTCTGCTGAAATGACCCACAAACGGAAACAACGACTATACCTACTTGTCGACAAAGGCCTGCGCTTCTTTGCATCGACCCGCTGCTCTACAGCTGCAGAAGAGAAGAAGACTGAAATACCACATCATGTCTTACCTGCTGCTTGTAAACCATTGATCTCGTTTAATGTCCGGAGCCCATTTAGTCACCCTAGTAGAGCTACATCTCTGAGCACAAAATACCGCGAATAAATGCGGTTGCTCAAGTAGATATGCTTGGGCTGCCTATGCTTAATTTTGTACATGCATAAAGGCCAAGAGACCAACACACGGACGGACTCTTGACGGACGGACGGACGGACGGACGGATGAATTTTGAATATGTTGATGTAAATATGCAGATGCGAATCATGTGAAAGAGCAGTAATTACAGCAGTCTAGTCTCACATTGACGCGCATTGGCACACAGTGCACGAAGCACATATGAATAGTTCACGACATAGACAGATCGACGCAACACGAACAGCGTTGGTGCACAGGCAAAACGTGCAGGATGGCAAGACAAAAAGATTGCGGTATCTGTCCTTGAACAGACGGAGAGCAACCGGTAGATTCTGGTAGATCTCCCCCTGTACAGCAAATGTCCTAATCCCTGAGCCCCAAAACCCGCTGGGCCACTCTAAACCAAAGCCTCCTTCCATCCCCTGGCCCTTTTTACCCTAAACCCTGAACCCTAAACCCTCCACTCTCTGGTCCTTGGGCACGACCACCTCAATGGACTGGTCGCCTGGGCAGGGCTGCGGCTTCGGGGTGGGTTCTCCTCGGCAGAAGAAGGTGGTCAAGAGGTATACTATGGTATATACTACGAGTAGTATACCAGTGGCCGGCAGTGTTGCAAGGGTGCTCTCGTTTTTGTTTTCCTCTTGTTCTTCCGCTACTGATACTGGTAAGACCATTTAGGCTTTCTGCACATCGCTACAATTCGCGGTATGTTGCAAGGCAAAGGCTGCCTTCATTTTCGTCCGTCAGCTTCCAATAGGGCTGACCTCGGCTCCACATGTTCCTACTGGGGGCACCCGAATGCGCAGGCCGTAGGATACTTATTGCAGCAACGAGCCAGGACCTGCAGCAGCCGGCGCAGCAGATGCACTCGCCACCGACGTGGTTGCCTGGCTTGCTTGGCAACCCTTATCCTTGCATAGACGCTTTAAAAAACACCCCGGAAGAGACCATGTCGAGAACTCGCAGGAACCTGCAACTCTTCCCCCAGCCTCGCCGGCTTCTTGGATCGCCTCTCCCGGCATGGCCTCCGAGGCGTTAGCCACAGGCCTCGGGAAGTAAAGCAAAAACAGCTTTGCTCAAGAAACCCTGCTGGTCCAGGTTCCCAGCGCCACCGACGGCTCGGACGTGGTAGCTGCACCAATCTTGTAGACCTGCCAAATTTTGCGAGTCAACTTGAGAGCTCGCAGAGTGCTGAGGCAAAGTCGATGTCTGATCCATGTGATCCACGTGATCCATGTCTGCATCTGGATCGGCCCCTTCTTGCCTGGTGCTCTTTTCCTGACACCCTGCCTCTCCGAGTACCTACCAAGCGTAGCCTGCGAGAAACCACATCTTGCCCAAAGCTTATGATGCTCTTCTGCTCGTTGTTGCTGTTGGTGCTTCTTTGGCCCCCATCCCCCAAAACCCCCGGTTCCGGCCGCAAAGCGCTTCTCGCCCTCCGCGCACGCGTGGTTGCTGAAGCCTCGGGCGGCCTGCCAGTGCAATCCGAACTCCAGGCTTCGTTGCTCCCAGGAAAGCTCCCTCCCCCAGCCTCGTTGGAGCAGCCGCACCACCTCTCCTCGTCGTCCTACAGTCGGAGCTTCGAGACAAGGAAGACTACGAAGCATGAGGAGCACCGCTTCCTGACAGGGCGAACCGCAGCCGTCATAGACGCCCCACTGGGGCACCTGGCTTACATTCATGGACTTGCCCCATGATCCGGCATCACGGGGGAAAGGGTCAAATGCATTCAGAGCATCCAAGACTCACTTCGACCCAAAGAAGAGCACAGAAAAGGAAGCAACAAACGCACACAGGCGGCCGACTGAGGCCTCCTTCTCGTGGAGGAAGCCCGCAGCAGTGAAGGCATGGCCCAGGGGCACCTGCTGGGTCCGGCCCAAGGCGGCATCTGCGACTGACGGACCATTCGGAGTTCCGCTGATTTTGCCGCCACGTCTCGGATGGTAAACCTTACATGCCTCAAAAGCGCTTCGAGCTTGAGCAACCTATTCTCAGGTGCCGACACCGTGCCGCGCCATGGCGAAGTAGGGCACCTGCATGCTGAGGCATGGAGACCGCGTGGATTTGTTCGCCCTGAATATGCTCTCCATGCTCTGACAAGACTTTTTGCTGCGAGCACCAAACATTGCTGCGCAGAGGTGTCGTGGCACCCGGAAACCCTGAGAGCGCAGGCAGCGAGCTGCAGCCTCGAGCTGCTTTCGCCAGCCTTCCTGTGTGTGCTGCACCGAAAAATTGTCATGATCCAGGGCTGGAGGCTGCGAAGGCTCACCACAAGCATCTCAGGCTCAAATGGCTTGGCCTGACACCACGGGGCAAGAGACGACCACAAGTGGTCCCAGAACTCTGCCCCGGCAAGAATTAACAGGAAGTCGGGAGAAGAGGAAAGCCCCCGACTTTCTGCAAACAGAGACTTCGCTCACCTTTCTGCTCCCTTTGGGCACATGCAAGCCCGTACCTCTCCTGACGAGACCTGTCTCTGTATGCAAGATGGCTGTCCTCTACAACAACCATCTCTAAGCGGTGTTCGTGAGACTTCAAATCTGTGAAACCGCTCGCGGCTCAGCTTGTGTCGCTCATGCACCGTTCAAACAAGCGGCGCGCAAGCCCCAAGCGAGCACGTCTTCGAAATTGCGACAGCTGCCGCTGTCCGAATCTCGGGCGATGCGAGAAAAGCAAGGCGATGAGTTTTCCGAGGTGGCCCCAAGACTCGCAAACTTGGTCCTCACTGAGTCATCTGAGCGCGCTCACAGCACATTCGAATGTAGGAGGCCCACCTCAGCTTCGAAGAGCGGCGGCAACTTCAGCGCTCCCCCCGTCTCTGGGCTTCCACGCGTCTCTGCCGCTGCAGACTCCTCGCAGCGAAGGGAGCACCTGCCCCACAGACCCCCTCGTGGCGCGCGAGCGCGCGCGCGAGTGCATCCTGCGCGCGCCTCCGCCTCGGGAGTCTGAGAACCAGAAGAGTGTCCTCCACGGTGATATCGGCCACCTCAGCTCGCGGGCGCAAAGGAACAGCGGTTTTTGAGAAGATCTTACACTTAAACCTTGAAGCCTGAAGGCCTGGAGGAGCTGGAAGGACTCAGTCGGCTTCTCACGGAGCCGCCAGGCGCCGGAAGACTGGGAGCAAGGATGGTACAGCTTCAGCAACTTGGTGCTCAGGATCTAGATTTCGCGTTGTGGACTCACACGTTGTCACAGGTCTACCTGTCGTCGCAAGGACGTTCCCTGAAAGCACAAGAGTTTGGAGGGGCCTTGAACATCTTGAGGGACGTGGGCGTAAGCACGGCCCACCTCAAAATGACGCAGACCCTCAGATTTCATGGTTGCAGATCTACGTTGTGTGGTCTGGACATCTCGACTTTGCACAGTCGTCAGTGCAGCTGCTGCGGTAACATATACCGCGAAGAAGCGCGCTATTCGTTCTTTGCATGATCATCAACACCACCAGCATCATCGTCAGCACCCTTAAGTCTGAATCGCATCCCTGGCAAACACGCACGTGCTGAAAGTGGCAAGCACACAAACACAAGATGCAGTTGCCCTGGAAACAATGCTCAAACAGTCATCTTCAGATCATCAACAACGACATCATCATCATCATCATCATCATCATTCTGATCATGATCGCCAACATCACCATGAACTCTTCTGGTACTATGCTATGTTCGAACTCTTGGTGAAATCAAGCGAATACCCGGAGGAAGTGGTCGTCGTAGTCGCCGTGAATGTCGTCGTCCTCCTCCTCACCATAAGTCGTGCTGCTCCTCATCTTCGTCCTCCAACCTCCTCTTCCTCCTCCTCCTCCTCTTCGTCCTCTTCGTCGTCATCTTCCCGGGACGACGTCACCATCGTCCTACTCCTCCTCGCAGCAGCGAAAGTTGTGGACGTGTGCATGATGTGAGACACCATCGCCCAAACCATCAGTACCATGTGATTGTGAGAAGGAACATTGAGCGAGATACTTGATTAGACCCGGTATCTTGGCGCTGCGCCGCACCCGCCAAGCCCCGATGTACTTGGAGCGCTTCGTGAGGACCCCGGCGTGCACCACCTGTACATGTCCCAAGGCGGTGCTATTTCGCATGCAATGGCGTGCGGCATAACATGGCACAGCCACTGCACGTCACATTGTGGTAAAACCTCTCGATCTGACACATTCACAAAGCGTCTGGTGCAATGCGAAGCCGTTGTACTTTAAGATAGCCAAGTTGGGGGAAGAACAGATTGATGTTCCATCGTATCCTATACGGCCGGTCATGTATCACCTTGAATACACGACGTCGTTGCGCATTGTTGCATGCCTATCTTAGTCAGATAAATTCTCACCAATTCGTAAGCACAAACCCAGACTCTGATAAGCCCCTCCGAAACATACGGTAGGGACACCTGCATGCACGGACCGAGCAAAGCTTTCTTCTTCGGCTTTCGGCATTTTGGGAATCTCATTAATCCTTCCTGCAGCCCGGACCTCCTGCCTCTAGCTGAATAGCAGGCTTCGCGTTTATCAGTTTCGCATTCTTGCACTTCATTGTCATCCGAACTCTTGCACTAACACCAGCCGGCCTACATAAGATAACGTGTGAGTGTGACAGGAAGGAGGGCCATCTAAGGCTGTTCCGCTATCCTTTGACATTGTCATCTCTTTTCTCGCTCCTCCGCTCTGTTGCTTTCTGCTGCACCCTTCGTGAAAGCTACACGGGAGATCTCGAAACAAGTGTGCGGCTTATCACTGAATCCATCGAGGTTGTGGAGCTGCTTGCTATCTGTTACACTTATGCTCGAAGTCGCCATGACATGGAGGCCATTCAAGCTCTAAGCAGCGATTAACAGCCCAGCAAGCCATCGTCACATTGACATGACCTCTTCGAGTCTTGAGCACTGAAGGCCCCCTTCCCACGGATTCGACACATCTGGCCTGCTCCGCCAAATGCCTTGGGTTGATCGCGCATGACTCAGCACCTCGTCCCTTGCTCTGCCTCATTCTGCCTCTCAGTACCCCTGTCTGTCGCTTCTTGCCATCGTGCTTTCAGCTCCACAACTAGTGTAATCTAGTACAGATGTGATGTGAGTCGAACTGATATGGCACCCGCTTCAACAAAGCGGCGCCAGGCTTCTCGGCGTCAGCCAGTCACAGATGCGGCGGCAAGCGTGCTGGCAAAGGCCACCTCGCTGCTCCGCCTCGCCCCACGACTCCGAAAGTTCCCTGCCATTTCTGCTGTTAGCTACTACTACGACGACTACGACTACGACTACTATTGCTGCTGCTGCTACCACCACTATAATCATTATGCATACAGCTTCCTGTGTGGTTGGGAGATCCGGGGCTCACAGGGCTCGGGCTCGACACTCGCACCGCCGGGCGCCTGGGAGGAGGAGCTCCGCTGGCACTGGAACAAGGCCTGCACAGGACGAAAAGATTGAACTGCTACAGAGGCCACTTCACAATCCCGATATCTATAGATAGATATATGTATATATATATATATGTATATATATATATATAGATTGGTATTGAGAGATATTGATGTTGGGGGTGTCGAGGCTGAGCCACATCTCGGCTAAGTCCAGAGCCCCGAAGAGGGCGCTGGTCGTCAGGTTGCCTCGCCAGGATCGTGGCTTCTCGTCCTACCCTCAAACACCTCTGCAAAGCCACGAGGGATCGCATCTGCGAGTGAGAAGATTGATGGAAGTTTTTCTAGCAGCGAGCATTGTGGTTGCGACATCCCTTCTGCACGCTGGGCATGCGGAGCTGACTCTCTCATCTGAAATGGCTTCAACCGCACTCCGAAGAAAATCCCGAGCAACGCGTGCCGGAGACGCATTCGACCACGTCCGACTCGGAAGTATCCGAAATGAAGCTTTCGGCAGCCTCCTGGGCCGGGACGGGATGGTGGCACATGCACCGCAAAACAGCTCCTCTGGAGTAGGGCCACTTGGCCGAGGCCGTGCGCCGATGGCTTTTTGTACTGGATGCCGTAGGTAGAGGCTAAGAAGGTGCCATCTGGTGCCCCTAGCACTGCCCCCTCAGCAAACAAGATCTGCGAAATCGCGCCAGTGTTATGAGGATGGACACTGTGTGTCAGGACTGGAGACGGCATGACTGCTGGAGAGATCGGGAGTGGGGCACGATGTTCACTGCAACTTTCAATTCGAGCACTGTGGCTCCAGCCCCACCACGCCAGCTTATGGCCAAACTGAACTTGGAAGTGTTACGAGGTACCTCGGCCTTGCGTGTAAATCCTTTGCCTGACAACACCTCGAATCGGAGACATCCGAACCTGCTTCTGAATCGGGACGCAAACCCTCCACAAGCCCAAGACACCTGGGGAGCGGTGCTGGTGCCCGCCGCGGGAAGAGGAGCGGGCAGCTGCGTGCTTTCTGCAAGGGCACGGTTCTGCTCTGTGGGGGCGGGGGGGAGAGATTTGCTGAGAAAGGTGGGGACTCCCCCGTGTCCCCCGTGGCTTCTTCCGCGCTTCGGGCTAAGTGTTGGGCTCGCCTCTGCGAGAGCCGAACTTCTTCAGGGCCGCATCTTAGTCCGGAGAAAGAGGGGAAGAGGGGCTCAGGGCTTCCCAAGGGGCTCTCGCAGCTGGGGAAGGGCTTCAGGGCTCAAGGAGAGAGGGAGCTGGGAAATGGGCTGCGAAAAACCCCTAGCAGAGAAAACCGCGGTGAGAACCGACAAAAAGAGGGCCCCCCGGCTGCGCTGGATGAGACCTCGGGGGAGCGGCCGAAGAACGTCTCTTCTCACCGCTTTGTCAGGCGCAGATATGTTCGCTTTGCTCTGGGGCAGCAGCCATCTGCAAGCTGAGCCTGGGCTGAAGGAGGGGGAGGCCCTATAGCCCTACACCAGTCCCCACAATTCCCGCCTGAAATTCGGGCATCCCTCCAGCTGCTCGTCTGAGAGATGCTCTTCATCGTGAGCTCGTTGAGGCTGCGGCAAGAGGTAGTGATGCCCGTCGAGGGCTTTCGCTCGCCTGACATGCAATGAACCCAAGGAACGCAGGCATGGCTCTGAGCAAAACTCCACCGGAAAGGACCGAACTCCGGAACCTGCGTGGCTGCATCCCCGACCACGTTGGCGGCGTTGGTTGGCGAGTCTGCACAGGTTTGTTGGACGAGTTTCTCGTTCAACATCCACGTATTGAGCACCTATCGCGGGTTCCGACACTACCGGCATTTATCACTCCAAGGGCCAAGAGGTCGGACCGCAGGTCACAGAGTGCAACTTCCGGTGCTCTCGCTGTCACACCATTCGGGACATGCCGGGTTCCTTCCACAGCCTCGAACTATAGTCTCAGACCCATCCTGTGGCAAGCGGCCTGAAGCCGCAGACGAGAGGCTCGCCTGCGCCTGCAAAGCGAAGGCTATTGGCTGACTCTCGTCCATACAAGACATACGAAATTCAACACTCCGCCTGCACGAGAGCATCAGAACCGTCGGAGGAGCGACATGGAACCAGCATGCCACCCGACAGACCGAAATTAGTTGGAGCTGAAGCTATAGACGCGTATCAGGCCTTGCTACTATCACTATGCCCCTTCGGAGACTTGAAAGCCAGCACGTATAATGCCGAGGCACCACTGACTACTGCAAACATGGCTGCCCGCATTACATGCGCGAGCGCGAGAGCTATGGCTTCAGCCTTCGTCTTTGAACATACAGAACTATCATGTCCAAGCCAGCTGCAAGGCGGTCCAATTCGCAACAATCGGAGCTCATGGCGCGTGACAGGACAGACACTTGACAAATGTTCTGCTGTGCCGCAAGGCTGAGGAGGGTGCATGATCTGTCTCCGCATGCCAGTACCTCGTGCAGTGCGAAGGTCTGTGACTACGGTCAAAGGTCGAGCAACCTCCACAGATGACGCAGTCCCGAGGCTCACATGGCTGCAAAATTCGCTGCGTTTTCTTCACCGTAGTATTTCAGCTTCACCTGGACTTACGCGTTGGGTGGAAAGAGAGACGTGTATGTGTGTGTGAGAGAGAAATACTGCCACTGCAAAAGCCCCCAGAGCCTGCTCCAGCTGTGACTCGGCGAAGCAGCCGACTAAATTCACGACTGCATCCTGACACAGCTGGGAAGACTGCAGGCACATAGCGTGTCGACGACCCTTAAGTGAAAAGTGTCTCGGGAGACTTCGGGTCTGCTTCAAAGCGAAAGCCTACGACGCTGAGCGGGGCCTCGGGGACTTGTCTGGCCGCCGGGAGATGGTTCCTGCACACAGCACTGGGCACCGGTATGCACCGGTATGCAGCGGTATGCACCGGTGCACTGGGCAGGTTGGAAAGAGCTGAAGAAGGAAACCGGGCGAAAGAGCTGAAGAGCGGGCAGAAAGGTTGCTGGCGATTGTGCCTGGTTTGATCTTGTCTTACCGATGTCTCTGTCTCTCTGTCTTGTGTGGCTGCTCCAAGTCAGTGCACGTGGCCAGTGCCTTTCTTACCCACGCCTTTTCCCCGATCCTGCTTGTGTGGCGTGCTGCTGCCGACTGAACATGCTCATGCCCGTCTTACCGTTAGATTTTTGTCCGGATCCTGTTTGCGAGGGCTGCTGCTGGCGACTGCGGGCGGCTTGTGCACTTCTTTTGTGCCGTATCCTGGTAGAGTAGTACGACGACGAGCAGCAGCACAAACAAGCCAAGCAGCACACGCAGCAGAACAAGGTAGGACTCACATTCCTCACACCCCATCGACATCCCTTCCGCAGCAAGTCACTACAGCTTCTGGGGCATTGATGGGAGGAGTCGGATGCCTGCTGCAGCTCATCCAAATCCAAACCAGACGTGCCGCCACATGTCTGAGACTCGTTCTCCCATGATGCCCTGAAGCTTCGTGACGCTCGCAGGCTTTGTCCGAAGGCGCTATTGCTGGGAGAAACGTCAGTAAGCCGCGAGGAGGCTTCGTCTGCTCTTCCTCAGCCTGAAAGCTCGCTGCAAGCGGAAATCCTTTGCCTCGGATGCATTTGGTCCAACTGTCCGAAGACCTGTCCCGTCAGGAGCTGTGGCATCGCGAAATTCGTCCCGCACTGCGTGGAGCTGAAACAAGCACACATCTGGATTCAGCCACGGCCGCTGTCACGCAATCGACACCGGCCTGACCCAAGACATCCTCGAGACCTTGTCGCACAGGCTTTTGTGAGCTTACTTACGTGCAGGGCTATGAATCTTGCAATACGCAGTGCCAGCATTAGGAAAGGGAATACAGTGTTGTAACTGTCAGTAGCACATTATCATCTGGCTTGTCTCAGAAGATGCTACACATGTGAGGAAGGAAACTTACCCATCTCGCAGCATTCTGCTTCGCAGGGCCTGCTTTCCATGTGCAACCAGGCCGCCCATGGGTCTCCGGGCCCGCAGAAAGCCCTGAGGCCCACCCTGCGCAAAGCAAGGGCTGCCACGCTTTAAAGCTCAGCTCCGAGCGGCCCCCTTAAGAGGGGCAGGGCTTGAGGAGGGGCTTTCAAAAACGAGAGAGAGAGAGAGAGAGAGAGAGAGAGAGAGAGAGAGAGAGAGAGAGAGAGAGAGAGCGCCCTTTTTTAACCTCATGCAAAGAGTTCGGGCTGTTTGCCGCTCTCAGCGGAGGAGTGGCAAGGACGGCAAGGAGTCGACCTCCCAAAGCAGTCTTTGGACTCAGGTTGAGGCTAGCGTTTAAAGTCTTGGGTTCACGGTGCCGAGGCATTTCCGTGGCCTCCCGCCGGCAAAACGCAGTGACAAGTGCACCTGCGCAGCTGGCTGCAGTCTCTAGCTTCTCTAAACTTATGGTTCCAGCCACATGACATTGGGGTTCCGGTGTCCACACCTACCAGCAAACGTAGAAGACCTACCATGCAATCAATTCTGCCTCTTCCTCCTTCGCTCTCCGCTCTTGATTGCTTCCCCATGAAGAGTCAAAGGACTGTCAAAGGTTTATAGCTAGTGCAGGCCGCCCATGACAACTCAAGCACTGCCTGAGAATACATGCGCTCACGCTGCCACAGTCGCCGGAGCTGTAGCCTGCAAAGAGGCACGGCGCTGCCACACAGGAGTTTGCAGCACGGAGCTTGGGGAGGTAAGGACGGCCCGGAGGCTACATAGTAGGGCTGACCCCTTGTCAGTCTTTTTCGATCGAATCCTCTTAGCAGCAAGGGTTATGACATCGATGGCGAAGTGTCGTGGTTCAAGGCCTCCTCGGCTTCTGCTGCGGGGGCTTCCTCAACCTGACGCGCTTTTGGCTCTGGCAGGTCTCTCCACAAAAACCTGCAAACCGCTTTTTGGTGTTCCCAGTGGTGGGAGTATGTGAGGCCATGAGCTCAGAGGGAGCGACTTGTCCAACCGCGCTGAACAGACTTTCCATGTTGCAGGACCAGCAGGGCTGGAGCTTACAGCGTTTCTCTGCATGGCCTCTTCACCCCGAGTCTTTCACTGTGCGTGCATGCTTGCCGCAGGTCGCACTACTCCAAGCCTCCACTGGGTCGTCTACCGTAGCTGCTTCGCCTCCCAGAGTGTTCGGTGCATCTAGGGTGCAGCAACCACTGTCGTTCAACCCTTCCGGACTCCAAAGACACACAGCTTTAGAGTGGTCCATGCCTAGGATCAAGGCCACATCCTTCTCGCCTGCAAAGTACAGCTCAACTATGGAGACAGCACGGCCCACAAGCAACGAAGCACCGGCCTGCATCTGGGAGCACCTGCCGGCATGGCGGCTTGCGAGCACTTGGAGATGCCCCCAAACACCCGGAGATCCATCCCACGAACTCCCAAAGCGAAGGGCACCTCCAAGCTTCCCGCTGGCACAGGGAGGGTGATCGGAGCGCCTGCCAGCGACTGCTCCCACAGGCGCAAGGCACGATTGCAGGTCTTACGAAAGAAGCGCGGCCCGAAATGTACGAAACAGCACGGCATACCGTAGATGCGGGGCTTGGCCTGCATCCGCTTTTGGGATCGAAGCGGCCTCTGCATAAGCGGTGTGAGATGATCATGATCGGTGTGAGCGTGAGCGGAGCACACCGAGCCTTTGGGGCCTCCACATCCACTGCCCCACGAGGAATGAAGACGGGTGCCTGAACCGTCGTGGCACTCGCACTTGCATGTGCACAACGATCGAAAACGGCCGGAAGGTCCACACCCTGCTGATCAACTACGCTCGCACTACTTGACGAGGTAGAGCGTCGGCTTAGGATGTCTCAGGCGAAGCCTCCGCATTGAAGCTGCTGCCTTGTCCAAGGGCAGCCTCAAAAAATCGCAAAATCCGAAGGGCGACGGTCAGCTGCTTTTTTCAGGCACTGGGCTGCTTTTTAGAGGCAAAAATCGAGCTGTCACTGTGACTCTGTGACCCTGGCCTTCTCCAAGTGCGCTCGGACTTCCAGCTCGCTCGGCAGGTCTCCATCCTGCGACAGTCCACGCGAAGGAGCGCATGAAGATGAAAACCGGCTATAAGACTGGACTGGATACCGCCAGCTTGCCTTCTTTCCGGGCTTCTTCCTTAGAGCGAAGGACGAGTGACACGCACAGGCCTCTCGTGGCAACAGCGCGTGCAGATCTGAGATCCGGGCGGGACCGCAGCGGCCGGTGCCGCCGACAGGCCTGCAGCTCAGGTTCAGGAATCGACTTAGAAAGAGGTGTCAGCGTGATCACAGTCGAGCCTGGTGGCACCGCGGTTGTGCCAAAACCAGGTGCCGCCGGGAACATCTGGGCCGCCTGTTGCAATGTCGGTTTTGGAGATCCAGCTCTGACGAGACTCCCAGATTTTGCAACCCAATCGATGTCTCCTATACCCTCCCGCTCCTGCGTCTCCAGCTGGGTGAGGCGCTCGGTCAGGGCATCCAGCGCCCGCTGCTTGGCCTGGGCTCATTGCCCGCGGCGGGGACCCACGAGCGGAGTTCCCATTCGATCTGTCGTGATATGGATCACCCAGACCAGGGCCAGCGCGGCGCCGGCACGCAGCATTCGGTCCACTTTGTCGATCTGCGCGTCAACCTGTGGGGCTTGGCCTTTTGCCGACAGTATTGCGCTAAAACCGTCGAGGATGAGTGCGGCAGACTGCCCCCGCAAAGTCAGTACGTCAGACAGCAACCGATTGTCACGCAAATTTGAGACTACTTCTCGCAGCACCGGGGGGCGTTGATGATCGGCTAGTGAAGTTACTTGTGCGCAAAAGAGTGTGGCCAGCAACCTCCAATTAAGTAGATGGCTGTTGATCGTTGAGCTTTCCATGCTTCTGTGATCGGCGACGGCGGCAGCAACAGGAAGACAACTACTGGGCTCCCGGCCTGGTCGGCCTTTGGGGCCGGTTGGCTGTCCAACTTCCGGCGTGCCTCTGGGGATCTTTGCTGCTAAGCCAGAGCCAGGGTCAGATGTCAGGCCTCGTCCAACGCGTCTCGGTGATGACGCATCAGGTCCGAGTTGTGGTTGTGAGCGAGGATCGTTCGATGAAGGTCCTGCAGGGCGTGACCATCCGATCTGTCCCGGACCTCCCCTGCCCGACTCTGCATCATGGGGGCCTGCTTCAGGGCCTTGACCTCGGAACCCCACTTCTGCTCCAGCTGCTTGATCTTCTGACCTTGCTAGCCGAGTATGGCTTCCCCCCACATGCTCATACATGCTCACCAGATTGGTGGCACCAGGCTTGGGTCAGGACTCAAAAAGGCACGGTCCACCGTCATTGCCGGATCCACTCCAGTGGCAGTGCCTGCAAAGTGTGAACCCAAACGAAAAAGGCAGGCAACTGATCCCAATCCAAAAACCGATACTAGCTTTCATCAGCCTTCTCATTGAAAAAGCCGAAGTCCGGACCATAATCATAACGGCCACTAATCAAGCCGTCCACTCACCACGCACGACTACCACCTCCTAGCCTCCGCCGTGCCTCAACCTGGAGGTGCATGCATTTCTGCCACGATGATGACGCTCACCCTCCAAACCATAATCAAAGGCACGAAGAGAAAGCTGATGAAGCAGCAGTAGTAGTAGCAACAGTAGTAGTAGCAGCAGTAGTAGCAGTAGTAGCAGTGGTCAGGAGCGCAGCAACAGCAGCAGTAGTAACAGCAGTAGCAGTAGTAGAAGTGGTGGCAGTCGCAGCAGCAGCCACGGTAGTACTGGCAGGACCGGGACTACTGGTAGGACTAGCAGTAGTCGTCGTCGTAGTCGTAGTCTCAGGAACGAGTCCCAATACTTATAATAATACGGATGCTAACACTCACAACGAATACTCATTCTACTTCTAACTGATATTGGTACGAATACGAATATGCTTGTGCGAGTACCAGTACTAGTACTAGTACTCGCTACTAGTATCATCGTTCGGAAAGCATCTCAGCTCTGAATATTTGGAGCCCTTTCCCAAACCGCTTCTTTCCGGGCCTCCCGAATTTAATCGGACGCAGCGGGTGACACGCTCCGACAGCTCGGTGATGTGTGACTGCCAGGCCAGCGAATGAGAAAACTCGGTAGGAAACCCTGGGGGGGGAGCTAGAGCTAGAGACCCGTCATAGGACGCGCCTCTGGCAACAAATCGCCACCAGTATGGTCGCTGAATGCGGGGGGACTTCTTGCTCTCATAAAGGCTCCTCCCTGAAAGGCCTCCATCTGTGTCAACTGGCTTCTGGCGACATTGAGCTCGTGCCTAGCAAGGCGAATCTACCAAGGAGATGGCTGCACTGCTCCCTAAGGCTGGACTCCTTGACCGGTTCGTAGAGCGAGGGGTACAAGTAGAAGGCAACACAAGACAGTTGCAGCACATTCCGACTTTAGACCACTCCATGCCCGCCCCGTCGTACCTCACACGGGCTTCGGAGTCTTTTTTGGCTTGCAGAATCATCTGCTCCACCTGCGAACAGCAAGCGAAGCTGTGTGTTGATAAGTTCCTGAAGACACCCGAGGCTGCAAAAGTCAGCTCAAGGCCACAGGACATCCTGAAACGCTGCCGCTGGTACCTGCTGGCCGATGGCCGTTGCAACGTCGCCATGTATCGACCTCAAACATCGGAGGCATCGGCTGAATACACCTATTCTAGTGTTTGGGCCAGCGTGGCAGATGCGGCGTCCTTACCTGAGCCGCTGGCATCCTCCCTACGCGGAGGCAGCCGAAGAGAGAGCTCCCCTCTTGCGCCCCACGCGGCCCCTGTGGGTCCCTCAATGCTTGAGCCGTTCAATCGGCTATGGAAAGAAGTACCGTGATCCTTCTTGACCACCTGTAGATCGGCAAAGTCATCGTCATTGTCGTCATCATCATCATCATCCATCCATCCATCCATCGAACTAGCTGTCCCTTCTGCAAACACGCAGCCGCGGCTGCCACTGGCGAATGAAACATTTCATCAGTGACCACTGCAAATGCATTTAAGGATGCTGCACATCGCCGTCTGGCAACGAACAGCTTGCAAGTCTTTGGATGTGCCTCTAACTCGAAGTCTGAAGTCTTCCACCACCGCTCTGGGTCTTGGCCCCTTGTTAAGACACCTCCGCCCGCCTGGAGGGCGCCCATGTTCCCGACCAGCAACGGCACCCCGCTCCTGAAGCCATGGCGATGCCCCACCGGGCTGGCTTCTTGCACAAGCAGTGGAACAAAGGGGACTGATATACTCTGCTACTATGACTCGGCCCAGTGACTCTCAGACTCTGAGGGTCCGGCCGCAGCGCTTGAAGCGCTGGGGGCAGCATGTCCTCGGCAAGGCTGAGTGGCTGAGCCCTTTCTGTGAAGATCTGAATTTGGTAGAAGCCTGCAAAATATCGGCAACGGACTCGTTGTGGTTCAGGGCAGGACTAATGCGCATTTGATGTTGGCATTGATTGCGGACCTTCACTTCTGCACCCAAAAGGTACACCCTCCGACCTGCACAAGAATCAACCTAAACACCACGTGAAACGCGAAGGAATGTCAATTCCTAGTACTGTACCCAGCTTCGTCCACTTCGCACTAGGACCGGCGCTCAAGGACTCTTGGTTCGACTTCCCCGCTTCCCCGTAAAATGATGATGCATATGCATGTTCTCCAGGCTGGGAGACTCTGATTGCAGCCAAAGGGCATCCATCCCGACATTCTCTTCGCCTTCTGACTCCTTCCCACAGATGCAGACAAGAACACTTCCAGTTCTGCCCCTTCCGTGTGTTACTCTTGGAGTTGCGGCTTCTGTCTAGGTCCTGCACCTCTAACAATTGGAATCATAACATCTCACACTCAAAGCGCCGTACTGGCCAATGTCCTCTGCCACTGTTGCGTTACTGCGTGGGACGGTCACGGTCAGGTTGCCGGTGCCGGAGTTGTACCTGCAATATTTTACACTGGCAATGGCAAGAGGAGGCAGGAGAAGAAGCAGTACCACAACAAGAAGTACGATCACCATCAACTACCGCCACAACGACAGCGATAACGACACAAGCAGCGACAACACAGATCCCCCACGAACGTCCCTGGCAAGCAGCATCTTCCGAGACCTGCACACCGCATCGCATCGAGGGCACGTGACAGAGACATGGCCCACGTCGGAGCCCTTCGGCAGCGAGAAGACGCGCTGGCAGGGCAGAAGGCAGGGCTCGCCACATGTTTAGACACTGGCTTTCGCTGGCTTCCGAGCCTGCCAGGAGCTGATGAGGGGTCCTTGCCGGTGGCGGCCGCTGATCACCAGGGACCTGGCTTGCTAGGCAACGCAGGTGCAGCTCCAGATTCCTTTTTCTCGGTTCTCGCCTGCCGCGGATGGCTCGCACGGACAGCGGCTTCTCGCTGGAAGCGCTCGCGGCACCGAACTGCAACGAGGCGGGGTTTATCAACCGCTCAGAGTAGATGTGTCATTCAAAGCCTGCGCTGGCCTCGTAGCCAGGGAGAACGGCAGAGATCACGATCTGAGTCTCGTGGTCATCGTGCACCTGTCATCGGAGCGTGCTGCCGCTCTGCAATGAATCTCTGATCCGGGCCTGGAAGCTCCCCTGTGCGAGGCCGACGTGTCCTCGCCAGTCCGAACTTCTCTTTTGATGATCCCTGAGTCGCCCAAAGATGCCTACGACATGTCTCCTGCATGGTGGTCGCCGAACATGTCCAACAGGCCACCCAGCTGCATCTGCATCTGGGCCAGAGCAGGGTAAACACGAACCCATCTGCAACGGTGGGCCTGAACGGGACGCGGCATCAGCGCCTGGCTCCCTACAGAGCCGCCCGCGACCTGAAAGCTCGGCTCCTGCCAACTCTCTGCGGTCTCGGGCCTGGCCTGCTGTTGAAGCATCCTCTCCATGTTCTTGTGGAGGTCCTGGGCCACCAAACACCAAGCGTAGGCGTAGAGCAGAGCTTTACGCGACTGCAAGGCTCCTCCCAGGGGTTGTGGCCCATATGTCGTTCGACCACGATGACCTCGCGCGATGAACGTGATGAGCTCCCTTGGCAAGTGTTCCCGCACCGACTTCTGAGCCCTTCGCCGGCGACCCAGCAAAGGCCAGATGTGCACCATGAGGCAGTTCGGGCGCCTTTGCACCCCAAATGCTTACACTGCTTTTCTTTTCCTTCATCTGGGGCCCGCCTTCTCGCTGCTCGCCGAAGTCGCAGCATCAAAAGGCCAGACAGCCGCAGCCGGCCCTGGAGAACGTGCAACGAAAAGCCGTTCCGTGCGATGCTTCGGACATACCGAGACCGGGCCTGGCGACCACAGGGCCCCCAGCCACAGCGCATGGCTTCTCCGGGGCATGGCAGAGTCGACAAAGGATCCACGTTTGTTGCTTATGTCCTACATACCCCGGAATGGGGAGTAATGTTTCAACATCTCTTTGACCCTTCGGAACTCCGAGAACCCTATGATGACACGAGCATCTAGGCTGCTGGCCCTGATTGTCATTCCCTGGGCTGCGAAAAAGATCCGTGACCGAGGTCTTCATGGATGATTTGGTGCTCTCAGGCAGCACCTGAGCCCCAAAGCTAAGGCAGCTAACGATGTGGCGGCACCGCCGCACCTTCCGAAGCAGACTTTGGAGGCTCCTCCGCTTAGTCTAGGCAAGTGCATAGCACAAAGAAAGCATAGTCTACATCGGAGCACTGGCCTGGCAATTGCTGCTGTTTACTTTGTGCATGACTAGCGGTGACAAGAGCTTCATCTCGCTCCGAACGGCACGGATCTTGCGCTGGCTCCGAATGCATCCACATGCCAGCGCTTTTTCTTAACAATGCTCGTTGCTACTCTGCCTCCTTCGCAGGAGCCGGCCGGGGCAGGGGCGAGTGGCTCTTGCCGGCACAGATCCGAATTCGAGTCTCAAAGGCTTCGATCGCAGCGATCAGAGGGATTAATTTCTGAATTAGGGGCGAGCCGTGCCGTCAGGTGACGTCGTCTGGCACGGTGCAGCCGGCCCGCGTGCAACTGCTATCCTGGCAGCCGCACGCAAAGATGAGCCTTGTTTCAACTCAGTACCCGTTTACGGCGAGGCCTCTGGGCGAGCAGCGGCACGATGTTAACAGCATCGCAACACCTTGTCCTGTGCACAAGCATGCATTTGAAGGTGACCTGAGAAGCAGGTGGTCATGAGCAACATCGCAGGCGAACCTCTTTGCAGTTGCCTTCCGATGCTTTTGGAGGCTCGCTGGTGCCCTTTCCACGAGATCTCGACCCGACTCCCGCGCCGTTCCCCTGAGAGTATGGGACTCGGGTCTGGCCTCTGTGCAGGGTCCGGCGCCTCCTCTCCGCGCTCCCTGGCAGCCATGGCAGCCAGAAGCCGATTACATGAACTGAATCCAACCGGTGCACGCCACAGAGCCGCCTAAGCCAGACCTTGCGGAGGCACATCTGAATGAAGCGGATCGGTTGCCTCCAATTGCTGAACCTGTCGCGAGCGGCACTTTTGCATGGCTTCGAGTGGCCGGGAATTGGGCCCGGGACTGGATGACAGACCCAGCCAAAGCGACATCGAACCAGTCTTCCGGGCCTCATGACAAGGCGAGGTCGCTCAACGCATGGCCAGCACTCATGCTTCGGATTGCTTCGGTGCGGTCCAAAAGGCACTGAAAGTTCAGGACGAAGAGCGGCCAGACTCCTGCAGGGCGGCGCAGTTGCGGATCCGATAAGCGTCGCAGTGTCGGAGCCAGCGAAAAGCATCGCAGTGTCGGGGCCAGCAGCAGTTGTCAAAAAGAAGACACGTGCACATCTCTGTACATGCAGAACGGGTTACAGATGCAGCCGATCTTTCTCTGCTTCAAGTCGCTTCGACTATTCGTCTCACCTGGGCGCTCGCCGCACTCTCGGGGCTCTCTCTCTCTTCCGCCTTCAAAGTCTGAGGGTGTGATCTCGCCACTTAGATGCAACAGGTTCATGCCACTGGAGCCCTTTTGAACACCGTCAACGCATCATGTTCTGAGTCTGGCGCCCCTGTGCGTGAACGGCGCTACAGTAACCCCTAACGACGTTGCAGCCCACGTCTCCTCCAGCTGCCACGGCGCTCACCGAGTCGGGGCCCTGGCCAGTGCCTCTCAGTACAAAGGGATCGGGCCCCTTCAAGCCACAGCTACGAGTTCCAGCTTCACCACCGTTGTGAGCAGATTCAAGGACCTAGACTTCTGCTATGCTGGCTACTGTAACAGTCTCTGAAACCACATGTTGACAAAACAGGTGAAGACGTGCTACGTGCCGAATGTGTCTAAAACCCCGAGCCTTCTTGTGCATGGAGACTTGCGGCCGCGAAGAGTCGCACGATGGACTCGTGTATTGGAGTCGGCTCGACGTAGTGGCCATTTACATAGAGGTACATGAAGTTGTCGGTGCTCTGAGCATCTTCCAGCCTCGACACGACGCCTCCCGAGGGCTTCGGCAGCACCCCCCTTGCTCTCATGCACTGCTCAACACTGCCCGAACCACCGCATGCCACAACACAGATTCTACGAAGAGTCACTCTCATATGCACTGGACGCATGGCTGCCTCTCCATTAGATTCATTAGATGCCACACACATCTGCGCCCGACACAGGTCCCACACACAGCTGCAGATGCCGAGGCCTTCTAGAGCGCAGGCGTCAGAGGACCACTGCACCCTGCGCTTCAGATGGGAGCCCAGAGAGCTGATCTGACTCGGGGCACCTGTGAAGGCCACGAGTGCAGCCGCATCCAAGCCTCGGCATCAAGACAAAGGAATTCTCATGGTCACTACGCCCAATTTTGAAATCATGGCATCCCGTAAGAAGCAGGCACATGCTCTAGTCTTGCTGCGGCCTGCTCCGCGACCAGGTCCAAGCAGTGTGCCTGATGTGTGCGGCATCGTGCAGACAACGTCTCCAGCAAGTCTTGTTGCCCGTCCGCCCTCGCGAAATTCACAACACCGCACGCACCCACACAAGAGAAAAACAGCTCAGGCAAAAACGGCTCAAGCAAAAACGAAAAACACGGCACTTGCACAAGCAGCTGAAAAGAGTGTTGTAGCCAAAGCTTCCGCACCGAATCGCCTCTTGGCCAAGGAAGCGGAGCCGCAGCGACACCCGCGGTCGAATCAAGACCTGACGAGCCCACCACACCACAAAAGATCAGGAGTCAGAACAGGTCGCTTCCACCTCTAGACTCGAAAAGAGGGGTGCAAGTAAGGGCGGGTCTCTATCTCTCCTGCTCCTGCTTGCCACAACTGCTCCTCCCTCTGCTTGTTCTCTCGCGTGCATCGTTGCCATCCGCCCTCACCGGACAGGCAGTCAGCCGGTTGCATTGTGCTGCCAAGCCAATCACACAGTTAGTCAAGTCGGATGGTGGGGCAGTCAACAAAAATACTTTTGCTAGCAAGTTCGTATGTCGCTGACGTACTGCGCAGTCAACGAATGGAATACTAGTTGCTGGTGCACTCGTCCGCTTGTCTTAATGACGCCCAGATGGCTTGCGATTTCGACAGGGAGTGTTGCCGAAGCACTTCCGTGTCACCGCTGCAATTCGCGATCATCTTCCAGCTCCTGCATAGTGCCTAGGGCCCGACGCATCGGGCGCTGCCTGTTCTTTCTCTTATCGGCCGTGTGGATGCATGGGCCTTTAGCTTCCCTTTCGTTGGAGACGAGCCTGTCGCTCCAAGCGATGGCGAAGCGATGAGACCTGCTCGGGCGCCACAGACAAGACGAGCAAGGCCAGCAAGGCTGCCCAGGCTCACCAGGCCATGCCAGCCTCAACTTCCCGCATCAGCCTGCCAAGGCCCTCCACCCGGATGGTGCTGCCTGGACCTGCCAGGACATCAATGGGGCCATGAGGAAGGGCCAACTCCAAGAACTCGCCTCCATGCGGGACATCGGAGGGGCCAAGATAGGTCACCTTCCCCTGCTCGAAGATCTTGCACACGGTCCCTTGTCCCGGGACCTGGAGGGTCTGGGATCCCATCTGAAGCTGTGCTCGAAACCCTTCGCGAGGCTCCTTGGAGCGCACGACCACGCGCCCGCAGCGGGCGCAGACCGCGGTCAGGGAGGTCACGGGCTTCCCGCCACCAAGCGCCTCTGCCCCAAGCGCCTGCGACGATGCTCGAAGTTGCTCCGAGCTCCGTGGTGGAAGAGGCCTCGGGACCCATGCGCCTCCATGTCACGTCCAGCACCGTCATCTCGTACGGTCAGCACAGCACCCACGGAGGACTCCTGGAGCTCGACCTCGGCTGCCAAGGATCGCCTGAACCCAGTGGTGCATGGCATTGCACGGCTACGCCAGGTGACCTCAACTGCCGTGGCGCCCGCATCCAGGGAGCCGATCAGCAGCTCCTGCAAGGAAGACTGAGAAGCTCACGCAAGCGCATGGGCGAGGCTCGCAGCATTCTCGCAAGGGGCGCGGCACTCTCACAATGTCCATTGTAAGGCATGAAACATCTGGATAGCTTCCCGGCGAATGCACGTGCAACTACAGGTGCGCAATGCATGATCACATCCAGAAGCTACCAACAAGATGCAGAATTCAAAACTTTGTCTTGCCAACACCTGCACATGTCTGACCCTCACACATAGTGAAGGTGTTAAGACTTCCTTGTCCTACAGCTTTCCGGACATCCTACATCGAGACTGTTGGCAGAGCACTCCACAATTGCACATGCCGTCGCCTCTGCTATGCGTCCAGGGCAAGGCACCTTCCATGCGCACAAGACGATCGTCGGCTTGCAAGCCGCGGGGACGAAGAATCGTGCCGTGCCTGGATGTCTGCACGCAACTTCCTGGGCAGTGTCAAAGACAATCGAGGGAAGAAATGTGTCCTCCCTTGGATCTCAGAAATAAGCCGTGCACAACCCTTGCAGAAAATTTACGCTGCATTCTAACCAAAGTCTAAGCCTGGAGTCACTGCTGCCTGCTGGCTCAGCTTGCGGATTCTGGGGGCAGGAGTCGCCAGTACCATGGGGAAAACAAGACCCTTTGTGACAAGGCCTTTGTGAGCAGCACGGCTCTTGTTTTGGGGCTCTTGCCTTAGACCAACACTTCAAGGCCAGTGCATGATATAGGAGGGCCTCACGAGCACGGACGGCTCGGCAAAATGCGCATTTGAGCATGATTGACAAGAATCACCGGCATCACGACAACCTATCGAAGCATGCACTCGAACCATCACCTTCTCGTCAGCAAGATGAAAGATTTGTGGTTTGAGGGATTCTTGATGCAGTGCTCGTTCTGTACCCAAGGTGGTTGGGGACTCGGGTCGATTTGCAAGGCGTTGGGTCTGGGGCCTAGCGGCGGACTTGCTGCTCTGGGATTGCGGCTGGGGGTATAACTTCGCTCACGTTGTGCACGCATGCCATGCGTGGCACAACCCTATATCGGAACACCAAGATCTCTAAGCTGACGCAACAATCGAAGCTGGGATCTTCGATTGCCCACTACACACAGCTCTAAAACTGGATCTCACGCGCAAGCGGACTATTCACAGAGTATACAGAACCCAAAACCGATAAATGACGCACCATTCCTCAACCACAAATGCTCAAATGCCCAGGAAATGGCAGCAAACTCTGGATGACAATCTCTCACTGCTTTTCGACAATGAGATTCAAGCCTGGTGCGGGCATGTCTGCATAGCTTCATCGCAGCCTGGCTGCATCAGGACTTTCTGAAATCAAACTTTTAACGAAGTTCATGGTCGTCGTGATCATTGTCGAGATCATCGATGTTAGGACCGCACGGGCAAACCATCGACGAGTCAATACTTTGCCCATGACTGGAAGTTGCAGCTCGTCTCGCCTTAAAACTAGTGTCTCAAAAATCGGCCGGTCATTCGGTGAATGGCGACGTCTGTTCACGGCATCCTCGACAGCTTCGTGGAAGGCGACGAGCGAGACAAACTGCATGAACAGAAAACCGGCTGTAAGCTGTGGATGGTTCAGGCCCAGATTCAACAACAGCACCTGAAAGCAGCGAGCATCGCTGGTGTCCCCGCAGTGGAAGGATGGTCTTCTCAGCGCCAGGACGGCATCTGCTGCAAGGCTTGTAAGAAGCGACAGTCCATCCAAAACGAAGTGACACACCAAAAACCATCCGAAGCGCCTCTGGCCAGGGTCGGACGGGACTTGCTCCAAACATGTTGCTCTGTTTCAGCATACACAAACAGTTTTGACATTCGAGCTCAAGCTTGCACACTAAACAGTCTTACAGTATCTGTATACAGCCAAAGAAGGGTCGGAGAAGAAGCCATTTACTCAGCTAGCGAGGGGAGGCCTTCACAGCATGGGAAGCTTACACCACCATCGGGACTGTTTGTGTCAGGAGAAAGTGTGGTACCAGCAGACTATGACTATTGCTTATTCAAGATCCTTTGAGCAGCCCTGCCTCTTGCAGTCCTGGCAAGCTTCGAACGCCGCTGTCAAATCGCCGACAACTTCTGCGGACTGGACAAGCGCTGCCACATGCTCCAACTCGCCCTGCAGCAGCATGCACGTCGCGATATGAGGCAAGGCCACAAGCCAGGATGCGATGAGCCACATCCCAAAGTCGGTCAGTGCAGCCCACCCAATTGTTGCGATGAGTTCCCAGACAGTGTGCTGAACAGGGTCTTCGTGCCGGGACGTGCCCCACAGAATCAGAACAGCAGCGTATGCCACGACCGTCAAAAAACAGGCAGCGGCCAATATCCACCAGGTGGTCTGCTTGGTCTGGTGTCCATGATGCGCTCTAGTCGGAACTGCAGCCCGCACCTGTCTGGCAAATTCCAGGTGCAATAGACAGGAAATTCCATTCAGCGCGAAGCTTGCTGCCATGCATGCAATGACGGTTGCTTTGGCTCGGCCGGCATTCGAGCCGTCGCACTCAAGCTCCTTTCCAATAAAAACGAGCGCGAGGCTCTCGTTAGAGATGGTTGTAGCAACAACGTAGCCCGGAAAAGCGACGGAGAGCACCATGCCGATGCTGTCAGCTCGGGATCGGCAGGGTATGCTGAGAAAGCCGGTTGTCACCATGGCCATGAGAAGCAGGACGGATTGCATTGGCCTCTCATCGTAGAATCCACCTCCGCTGAAGATGCGAACGTCGAACACGGAAAGAGATGATGACAGCTCAGGGACAAGCCTGCCAAGCTTAGGGTCGTTGCCGAATATTGGTGGGAGAGGCAACAACCTGGAAAGATATGCGAAAGCGGCAGCAGCGATTGCACATTGAATACACCAACGCCGGCCGGCACATGCCATCATGGCTATAGCTGGTGCAAAGGGTGTTACCAGTTCACACATGTGATACGTCTCAACGAACAGTTGAAGGCTCGTACCACCGCTGCTGGCTGCCATCAGCCACCGCACAAAGAAAAGCGCAACAGAGAGTACAGAGGCGACGCCCCAAAACCAGATTATGGCCGGCCTTGCGTCTGGATTTGTGCCAGCGGCAAACAAAATCCAAGCTTCTGTGGTGTCCAGTCCATGGGCGGATTCCCGTGCAGTGGCGCTGGCCTCAGCAATGCTGAGGTGTGCAGAGATGGCCGACTGGAAGGAATCCATTCCAGACCAACCTGGCCTTGATAGCGTGAGCTGAGCCTCACAAAATCAAATTCCCTTCATCGAGCCAGCCAAAATGGTTACAATGCGGACGACCGCGGTTGCTACTGCTGCTCCTGCTCCTGCAGCTTGGCTGCCACCTGCAAATGCGTTTGATTGCTTTGAAGAGTGGCCACTTTTCCAGAGGCTGGTCCGCCGCAGGTTGAGTTGAACCTGGGTTCGAGCAACCCTCCCCCCCCCGCCCCCCCCCGCCGCGGAGGGGAGGGTGGGGAGAACAACAACAACAACCCTGGGGTCAGGGTTCCGGGTTGGGTTTAACCGGGGGTCGAACCCAGGGTCAAGTCTGGGTTGAACCTGGGTTCGAACTCGGTTGAACAGTTGAACCTCGGGTTCAACTCGGGTTCGAACCTGGGTTCCAGGGTTGGGTTCAACCCCAACCTAAACCCTCGCCGGGGGGTTGGGGTTCGGGTTGAACCCAAACCCAAACCCTCCCTGCCCTCCCTTCCCATTCAGCCTCAGGTTCTACCCCCCCGCCTTTTCCACATCCGCTTTTCCACACGCAAAAGGAGAAAGCCACACGAAAACGCTTTTGGGGGCTTTAAAACGAAGAAAATACATCTAAAATCTAAACTGTCTAAACCTGCCATCTTTCGAAAAATTGAAAGGAGAAAGTCACACGAAAACGCTTTGGGATGGTAAACGAAGACAATTAAAATGATAAGTGAAAATATAATGCAAAAAAGATAAAGCCACACAACAACATCGACAAGCTGGGTTCAACCCAGGCTTAAATTACATTTTTCTCCGCGGTCTTTTACCCAAAGGGCGAGTCCAGTGCTGGCCGCTTTGCAGCCCACTCAGAAGCGCGACCCGTAACCACTAGGTTGCTGGACCACGCTGCGCTTGTCCTTTCTGCGCGTGCACTTCACTTTTAACTTGGCCGTGATGCCACTGTTTGTGACAGAGTGCTGCCCACCGCACTGCGAGCATTTCCAGAGCTGACCTGTCAAGACCAAATTATGTGTTTCATGCACTCCTTCGAACCTCGCTCAGCGCCACAAGGAGTCGCAGCTCTTGCGATGAGGACTTTTCGGTTTTTTGAATGCAGAAGCTTTAAGCCACATCTCTTACAGACCAGATCAAGGTCCTGCCACTCCCAAACGTGATTCCCGGCATCAGCTTCACCCTGCACCAAGGTCGAGAACCACTCCTGCTGGGTTTGGGTATGCCCATGACCTACATTGGCACCAACTCTACGGCGATTATGCAACTTCTCACCGCTCGGATGCTGCTGTGCACGGGCCTTCTTTAATTCTTTGTAGGCTTTGACACAGGGATGCCCATCTTCCGTGGCACTCAGAACTTTCGCAGCACGACCACTAAGGAGCTGGAGACTGCGACTGAAATCAGCATCCTCGTCATGCAAACACCTCGCGATACTTCGATCCGCAAGCTTCGCAGCAAAGCTACTGCATCGCTGATCGGCGACTTCATTGGTGAACTTTCTCCACAACAGGTGCTTACCGAACTTCGCTGCGAAAGCATCTGGACGAAACTTTCCAGCACAAGGCCCCCGGAGCTTTTTGTGGACCTCTAAGCAATCAAGGGTGCAATCCAGGGTCCCAGTAGTTTTTTCGCAAGAGGAGCAGAGCAGCGAAAAGCTCGAACAGTTTGCTGTCCTGGCAGGATCGCGCTGTGGATGCAACTACTGGCTGTTGGTCCACCCATGCAAAGGCCACAACAATACCAATAGTTCGAAGCTGGATCTTTAGTGAAAAGTCCCCCGCTAGCATCAGTGCTGAAGGTGAGGTTGGTGCATCAATGCAGCTCTGGTTACTCCACAAACCGGTGCTCAATCCGCGTGGAGACACTGCGTAACCCACACTGTTTTGCATCCAGTCATGCCAAGCTCGTACCACTTGAGCTCGGCCTACGTCTGCCTATGATCCAATGAAAGCCATCAGCAAGCGCAGAACTCTCCGCATGCTTGGCAATCGCTCTGCTCACTGCAGACAATCCAGGTTCAATCTAGATGGTTCAAGAACCCAACCCAAACCCTGGAAACCAACTCTGGAGTCTTTGCCACACGTTCTTCGGCACAAAAAAAGAGAAAGCCACAAAAAACGCTTTTTGCTGCTTTGAAAACGAAAAAAACACCTAAATTCAGAGCCAGATTCAACCAGTCCAAACGGCTGACCAAATCCAAACCTCTCAACCCTTTCTGTGGGGCAGAGGTGCCCAAACCCATTGTCCACGGTTTGGATTGAGGTTTGCCCAGTTCTTCTTCTGTTGGTAAGGCGGTGGAGGCCAATCTCCTCTGTGAGAGATCCCGCGCGAGACCTTGCTTTTAGACGCTGAAACAGCCATTCTTGCTGTTTTCCGTTTGCCACACCGATGGAGCCTGGATATCTTCGACCAACCTTTC